GGGAATTTAGGAATTCCCAAAATGGATTTTCCCAATTCTTGAGGATTTTAGACCTTTTTATCTGATTTTTTTTTGGATTTTCCCAACTCTTGGTGATTTTTACTCATTTTTATCCTAAATCTGATTTATTTTTTTGTTTTCAGTGTTGTTTTTTTGGAGAGGCATTGGCAGGTTTGGATTTTTGCAGTTCCTGGGGGATCGGTGGGAATTCACCTGGAGAAAAATGGGAATTTCTCCGTTTTCCAGCCCAAAATGAACCTTTTTCCCCTGAGGGCTCTGGAGGAGCGGGGGAGGGGATTCCGGGGGGTTCTGGGGGGGCCGAGACCCCAAAAATTGGGAATTCTTCTCCTTCCCAGGTCCGGGAGTGACCAGTGACCATCTGGGAATGGCCAGTGATGGTCTGGGAATGACCAGTGGCCATCCAGGAATGACCAGTGATGGTCTGGGAATGACCATCCAGGAATGACCGATGACCATCTGGAAATGACCATCCGGGACCAGTGACCACCCGGGAATGGCCAGTGATGGTCCGGGAATGACCAGTGACCATCCGGGACTGACCAGTGATGGTCCAGGAATGACCAGTGACCATCTGGGAATGACCAGTGATGGTCTGGGAATGACCAGTGATGGACCAGGAATGACCATCTGGGAATGACCACTGACCATCCAGGAATGACCAGTGACCATCCGGGAATGACCAGTGACCATCCAGGAATGACCAGTGATGGTCCAGGAATGACCACTGACTATCTGGGAATGACCATCTGGGACCAGTGACCATCCGGGAATGACCAGTGATGGTCTGGGAATGACCAGTGACCATCTGGGAATGACCAGTGACCATCTGGGAATGACCAGTGATGGTCTGGGAATGACCAGTGATGTTCTGGGAATGACCATTCGGGACCAGTGACCATCTGGGAATGACCAGTGATGGTCCAGGAATGACCAGTGATGTCCAGGAATGACCATCTGGGACCAGTGACCATCCGGGAATGACCAGTGATGGTCCGGGAATGACCATCCAGGAATGGCCAGTGATGGTCCAGGAATGACTATCCAGGACCAGTGACCATCCAGGAAAGACCAGTGATGGTCCAGGAATGACCAGCGATGGTCCAGGAATGACCATCTGGGACCAGTGACCATCTGGGAATGACCATCCGGGACTGGTGACCATCTGAAAACTACCAGTGATGGTCTGGGAATGACCAGTGATGGACCAGGAATGACCATCTGGGAATGACCAGTGACCATCCAGGAATGACCAGTGATGGTCCAGGAATGACCAGTGATGGTCTGAGAGTGACCATCTGGGACCAGTGACCATCTGGGAATGACCANAGTGACCATCTGGGAATGACCAATGATGGTCCAGGAATGACCAGTGATGGTCTGAGAGTGACCATCTGGGACCAGTGACCATCTGGGAATGACCAGTGATGGTCTGGGAATGACCAGTGACCATCCAGGAATGACCAATGATAGTCTGAGAATGACCAGTGACCATCCAGGAATGACCAGTGATGGGCCAGGAATGACCAGTGACCATCTGGGAATGACCAGTAATGGTCCAGAAATGACTGGTGACCATCCAGGAATGACCAGTGATGGTCCAGGAATGACCATCTGGGACCAGTGACCATCTGGGAATGACCAGTGATGGTCTGGGAATGACCATTGACCATCCAGGAATGACCATCTGGGACGAGTGACCATCTGGGAATGACCGGTGATGGTCCAGGAATGACCGGTGATGGTCCAGGAATGACCAGTGATGGTCTGAGAGTGACCATCTGGGACCAGTGACCATCTGGGAATGACCAGTGATGGTCTAGAAATGACCAGTGACCATCCAGGAATGACCATCCGGGACCAGTGACCATCCAGGAATGACCAGTGATGGTCCAGGAATGACTATCCAGGACCAGTGACCATCTGGGAATGACCAATGATGGGCCGGGAATGACCATCTGGGACCAGTGACCATCCAGGACCAGTGACCATCCGGGAATGACCATTGACCATCCAGGAATGACCATTGACCATCCAGGAATGACCAGTGATGGTCCAGGAATGACCAGTGATGGTCTGGGAATGACCGATGACCATCCAGGAATGACCAGTGATGTTCGGGAATGACCGCTGACCATCCAGGAATGACCGCTGACCATCCAGGCGCGGCTCAGAACCGATGGATTGGGCCACTCAAACCCTTCTGGATTCCCAAAATCCACCCCAAACCCGTTGCGTGGGACCCCAGGAGGCCTCTCCCTTCCGAGACCACCAAAACCTCCCCAAACTGTGCCAAACAAACCCCAAAACCCCGCAACCCCAAGCACAACCACCCCATAAAAACCCCCGTGGTGACGCCAGGACGGAAACAGGACCGGACCCCACCGAAAACCCCAAAACCCCAAAATCCCGAGTACAACCACCCCATAAAAACCCCCGTGGCGACGCCAGGACGGAAACGGAACCGGACCCCACCGAAAACCCCAAAACCCGCGCGGTTCCCGGTCACAGGTGGGTGAGCTTGGGCGCCTCTTGGATTCTGCCCTGAGAAGATCCGTGGTGCGACGACGACAGCTCCGCGTACGTGGGGTGGCCCTCGCACGGTCCGTGGGGCTGCCCGGTGGCCACCGCGCCGTAGTCCATGCCGGCCGCCGGCTGCTGGCCCAGGTGGCCCAGGCCGTAAAGAGCCGGGCCCGAGGCGCCCATGGGCTCCCCAAAATTCCCTCCGACGTAGACGGGGCTGCCCTGCACGCCGCCGCTGGTCCCGTAGCCCACCCCGTTGCCCTGCAGCACGTGCGGCTCGTACTCGCCCGAGTATTTCTGCTGAGCCGGGCAACCTTTAGCCGGGGCCGGGTAGCCCGCGGCGGGCACGGCGTAGGCGTTAGGCTGAGCTTTCCCAAAAGCCGGCGGCGACGGCGCCTCGTAGGGAGCACCCAACGGGTGAAGAGCGTTGAGAAAACCCGCCGAGGTCTGCATGGGCTGCGGGGGGCTCCCGGCCGGGGAGGGACCCCCCGACGAGGAACCCCCGACACCTTTGGATTTCTGATCCTTCTTGAACTTCATGCGGCGGTTCTGGAACCAGATCTTGATCTGGCGCTCGCTGAGGTTCAGCAGGTTGGCCATCTCCACGCGCCGCGGCCGGCACAGGTAGCGGTTGAAGTGGAATTCCTTCTCCAGCTCCACCAGCTGAGCGCTGGTGTAGGCGGTGCGAGCTCTCTTGGACGCCGAAGAGCCCGGAGGGCTTTTTTCACCTCCTCCTCCTCCTCCTCCTCCTCCWCCGCCRCCRCCGCAGGATTCTGCCAGAGCACCCGAAAATGAAATGAGAGGGAATTACTTAACGCGCAGAAATTGAAAGCGTCGGTTGTTAATAAATCCTCCAGGCGGGAACCCCCCCCGTTGCCCGTCCGCATTATCCCGCGCTCCATAATCGTGTCATTTATTAAGAGTTCTGTTCTCCGAAGCTGCCCCCTGCTTTATGAAAATTTGATCATGTCATGTAGGGAACAATTCCGGGGCTGTTTATGGACGAGGCGATTATTTTTCCGGCGGATAATTTTCGGGGAAATGACGTTTGGCAGCGGGGCCGGGGGATGCGAGCGGGGTTGGTTCGGACACCAAAATTTCCCTCCTCAGCCACCCTTTTGAGGCTAAAACGGGAAAAATTCCATTCCTGGAGTTCACGGGAGGGAATCGCTCTGATTTGGGATATTTTCAAATGGAATTTTTGGGGTTTGGTTGGTTGGGCCGGTGGGATGTGGGCAGGAAGATGGAGGTGGTGGCGGAGATGGATCCGCCCTCAGTGAGCAGAAAAGTGGAACGGGATAAAACCAAATTTTAGTGGTGGAGATGGATCTGCCCTTGGTGAACAGAAAAGTGGAACGGGATAAATGCAAATTTTAGTGGTGGAGATGGATCTGCCCTCGGTGAATGGAAAGAGGGGATGGGATAAAACCAAATTTTAGTGGTGGAGATGGATCCGCCCTCGGTGAACGGAAAGGTGGGGTGGGATAAAACCAAATTTTAGTGGTGGAGATGGATCCGCCCTCGGTGAACGGAAAGGTGGGACGGGATAAAACCAAATTTTAGTGGTGGAGATGGATCTGCCCTCGTTGAATAGAAAGGTGGGATGGGATAAAACCAAATTTTAGTGGTGGAGATGGATCTGCCCTGGGTGAATGGAAAGGTGGGGTGGGATAAAACCAAATTTTATCATTTTTTTTGGTGGAGCTGTCGGGAGAGCGTTTTCCCACATTTGTGTCCACGCGGCCGGACTTTGGCCGGGTCCGATGCCCTGGCTGGATTTACCCACGGTTGTGTCTGAACCAAACCAGCCATGGCCATGGGGTGGGCAGTGCCCAGAGCTGTGTTTGAACCCAACCAAGTGTACCCAGCCAGGGTGGGCAGTGCCCAGCACTGTGTCCAAACCAAACTGTGTCCAGCCAGGGTGGACAGTGCCCATCGCTGTGCTCAAACCAAACCGAGTCCGCCCAGCCATGGCTGTGGGGTGGGCAGTGCCCAGTGCCGTGGTCAAACCAAATTCAGTCCACTCAGCCAGGGATGGGCAGTGCCCAGTGCTCTGTTTGAGCCAAACTGAGTGTGCCCAACCATGGCCGCAGGGTGGCCAGTGCCCGCTGTTGTGTCTGAACCACACCGAGTGTGCCCAGTGGGGTGGGCAATGCCCAGCACTGTGTCCGAGCCAGAGTCCACTCAGCCAGGCCAATGGGGTGGCCAGTGCCCGCTGTTGTGTCTGAACCAAACTGAGTGTCCCCAGTGGTGTGGGCAGTGCCCAGCACTGTGTCCAAACCAAACTGAGTCCACTCAACCAGAGTGGACAGTGCCCAGAGCTGTGGTCAAACCAAACCAGCCATGTCTGTGGTGTGGGCACTGCCCAGCACTGTGTCCGAACCAAACCAACGGTGCTCACCCAGAGTGGGCAGTGCCCAGTGCTGTGTCCAAACCACACCGAGTCCACTCAGCCATGACCATGGAATGGGCAGTGCCCAGCGCTGTGTCCGAACCTCACCGAGTCCACCCAGCCATGGTGGACAGTTGGACAGTGCCCAATGCTGGGTCTGAACCAAACCGAGTCCACTCAGCCAGAGTGGGCACTGCCCAATGCTGTGTCCAAACCAGAGTCCACTCAGCCAGGCCAGTGGTGTGGGCAGTGCCCAGCGCTGTGTCCAAACCAAACTGACTGTGTCCAGCCAGGGTGGGCAGTGCCCAGCTCTTTGTCTGAGCCAAACTGAGTCCACTCACCCAGAGTGGGCAGTGCCCAGTGCTGTGTCCGAGCCAGAGTCCACTTAGCCATGACCATGGAATGGGCAGTGCCCGGTGCTGTGTCCGAACCTCACCGGGTCCACCCAGCCATGGTGGACAGTTGGACAGTGCCCAATGATGGGTCTGAACCAAACCGAGTCCACTCAGCCAGGCCAGGGGGTGGACATAGCCCAATGTTGTGTCCAAACTAAAGCGAGTGTGCCCAGACAAAGTGAGCAGTGCCCAGCTCTATGTCCGAACCAAACCGAGTCCAGTCAGCCAGAGTGGGCACTGCCCAATGCTGTGTCCAAACCAGAGTCCACTCAGCCAGGCCAGTGGGGTGGGCAGTGCCCAATGTTGTGTCCGAACCAAACTGTGTCTAGCCAGGGTGGGCAGTGCCCAGCTCTTTGTCTGAGCCAAACTGAGTCCACTCAGCCATGGTGGGCAGTGCCCAGCACCATGTCCGAGCCAGAGTCCACTCAGCCATGGCCATGGAATGGGCAGTGCCCGGCGCTGTGTCCGAACCACACCGAGTCCACCCAGCCATGGTGGACAGTGCTGTGTCCGAACCAAACCAAGTGTGCCTAGTGGGGTGGGCAGTGCCCAGCGCTGTGTCTGAACTAAACTGAGTCCACTCAGCCATGGTGGGCAGTGCCCTGAGCTGTGCTCAAACCAAACCAGCCATGCCCGCGGTGTGGGCACTGCCCAGCGCTGTGTCCGAACCAAACCAACGGTGCTCACCCAGAGTGGGCAGTGCCCAGTGCTGTGGTCAAACCAAATTCAGTCCACTCAGCCATGGCCATGGAATGGGCAGTGCCCAGAGCTGTGTCCGAACCACACCAAAGCAAACCAAAGCAAACCAAAGCAAACCAAACCAAACCAAACCAAACCAAACCAAACCAAACCAAACCAAACCAAACCAAACCAAACCAAACCAAACCAAACCAAACCAAACCAAAC